AGAGTTCCCTATTGTAGTAAACATTGGCTTCAACCTTCCAGTTTTCAGATTAAGAATCTTGGTGTTGCCCTTGATTACATTTGGCATCTCACACACATGAACTAATAGACAAAAATGATAAAAATTTCGGTTGAATTACAGTCGATGAGTATGAGAGACAATAATCATAGTAAGTTAAATATGCAGTGTTTATAAGTACTTATATATAGTATTGCTATATAATAGGAAATATTTAAATTTAAAAATCTAGAATGTAATGGATACAATGGAAATAATAAAACAACGTAAAGGGGAAGGGAGTGTTGGGGGTGCAAGTGAGCAGGTAAACCATGAGGGTGATCAGAGTTCATCTCACTGGGGAACAAGATTTGAATAAAGACTAGAAGGAGGTGAGAGGCATAACCTGCATGACTAATAGTAGAAAGTGTCCCAGGCAGAGGGACAGCCAGTGCAGAGGCCCAAATGTGGGACTGTGCCTGGCTGGCACAAGTAAGAAGAAGTCTCGTGTGGCAGGAGCAGAGAAAGTGATGAAAATATTGGTAGTAGCTGAGGTCAAAATGCATAGAGGTGGGCAGATGGCATATAATGTGGAGACTTATGGGTCCTCATTGGTAAGTACTTGACCTTTTACTCTCATTGGGATAAGGAACCATTGGAGGGTGCCGAGCAGAGGAGTGACATTATTTGACTTACATTTTAAAAGAATCACTCTGGCTGCCATGTTGAGATTAGACAGTATTGAGAGTGGGAGGAAGGTTGGATGTAAAGAGGTTATGGAATAATTCACTGGTAATGGTGACTCAGCCAAGATTCACAGTAGTGATAAGATCAGATTCTGAATATACTCTAAAGAATTTCCTGAAGGACTGGATATGAAAAGTTAGAGAAGCATCAAATGTGATTTCAAAATGTTTGTCCTGAGTAGATGGCACAATGGAGTTTCCTTCAACTAAGATGGTAGCAGGTTTTGGAAGGAAGAGAGGAGCTCTCCCTATAGGAGCTCAGTTTCAGACATGATTTTAACATATTTATGGGGTGGTTGACAGGCATTTGATATTCAAGTCTGGAGTTCAAGAGAAATGTCTATACTAGAGATTTAAATTTGGGAGTCATTAGTATATACAGGCATTCCTCAAAGATATTGTGGGTTCAGTTCCAGGCCACCTCAATAAAGTGAGTATCACAATAAAGCGAGTCACAGATCTTTTTTATTTCCCAGTGCATATAAAAGTTATGTTTATACTATACTGTAGTCTTAAATGTGCAATAGCATTATGTCTAAAAAAATGTATATACTTTAATTTAAAAATACTATTGCTAAAAAATGTTAACCATCAACAGAGACTTCAGTGAGTCATAATCTTTTTGCTGGTGGAGGGTCTTACTTTCAATTTGTAAAAAATGAATGATCTGTGAAGTACATAAAGCGAAGTACAATAAAGCAAGGTATCCTGTATGTGGCATTTAAAACCAAAGACTGTGAGATCACCAAGAGATTGAGTGTAGCTAAAGAGGAGAGTCTCATCGTTGGATACATTAAATATGCACAGCTTTTTGTATTATTGAGAGAGAGAAAATGAAGACATTAGTGATGAGAGAGGTTTGGAAGAAGAGGAAGCAGCCAAGGAAACTAAGAAGGAACACCCATCAGGTAGAAAGAAAGCCAAAGAAGTGTGGTGTCCTGGACCAAGAGAATAAATATTTATCAAGGGGGAAAGAATGACCGTTACTGGAAAGATGACCACGAAGAAGTGGCCATTAGATTTGGTGGCATGGAGGTCATTGGTCACCTTAACAGAATAATTTGGGTCGAATGGTGGCAGTGAAAGGCTTCTAGTAGTGTGAGAAGAGAGGCAGGGAGGGATGGGAAGAGTACAGACAACTATTTGGGGGTGTCTGGTTGAAAAGAAGAACAGAGAAATGGGTCAGTAGTTATGGGGACAGCGAGGACAAATGAAGCTTTAATTATGGTGTGATGTTTAAAGTTGGCTCTTAATAAATGCTTGCTACTGATAATAGTAATGTGACTTATATCCATATCCTATATTATTTTTAAATAAGATATCCTGATGTATCATTGGACATGCAACATTCATGGTTTTCTCCTGTCATGTTTTTAGCCAAAAAAAGTAGCCAAAGAAATGAGAATGATGGATAAATTCCCCATTAAGTTTATAAGTTCATAGTCAGTAACTATGGAGTAAATACCAGCAAATAAAAAACTTGATCTCTAAAATTGAAAACATTTTCTAAAGTAATAACCAGATCATTAACTGCTTCAAGTTTATTCTGGTTAGCATGATACAGGATAAATGGCATTGCAAAAGCATAACCCCGTCTCTGTCTTGTGAGCACTAAAGCTTCTGTATTTAAATGAAAGTGAACCATCTGATCACTTAAATTGTTTAACACACCATCACTACCTATTGGTAATAATCGGTAAGATTTACTGAGAGCTTTGTGCTGGGCTTTCAGGCTTTACTTCTCACCATAATGTTTGCACCAAACATTATCATTCTCCTCATTTTATAGATGAAGGAACAGAAAGCCTCAGCACAGAAAGATGAATAGCTTAGCTCAAGTCTTCACAGATGGTAAGTTGTAGAGTTGTCTGACTCCAGAGCCTGCTCTGCAGCAGGGCTGCTGCTAGCCCGTATGGCGCTCTTATACAATTAGAAAACAGCACTCCATTTTGCAAGTAAAATTTAATTTGTTGTCATGAAGCCCTAGCGGCTGTTCTCCAGGGGAGCTTGAGGAGCACCGCTTGAGGCAGCTCTGTCTATGTGCACATAACTGCCTACACTTTTGCCTTTTGCCACAGCAGGACACATACTCGACAATTTTCAAATACTCTGTGTTGCTCCTCCCACTTCCATGGTAGGCAATGATAACAGGTTCAAGGTTGGGGAATGGGAAGCAAGTCTTTGAAAGTGCCAGGTGAGAGGAGCAATTGCAGGTTTCATTAGAAATGAAGTCAGGACACGTGTAACTTGTGTAGGTGTGTGTGCCAGGATGTAGGTGGTCACATACACCCGAGGTGGGTTTTTGTAGGAGTCAGCTCACCACTGCTCCAGAACTTGACCAGGAGGCCTGGAATCTCCCAGCCTGCCTGTGCTTTTACATAAGTTAGTATTTGTCAGTGATGTGAAGTAGCACATTCTTATTTGTGCTGCTCTTGTACAGTGTGAAAACTGAACACTCCTATGCAGCAACCTTATTCCTAATCATTCTTTTGCTCGTTAGATAATCGTTAAGTGTCTACCTGCATGCAAAGCACTGTACCAGGCATTATGGGAAACTCAAAGACACCTGATCTGTTCTTTTTTTATCAAGGGACATAATTTATAACAGGAAAATATGTACATAAATAGTATATAACACAAGGTGATAAGTTTTACAAGTATTAAAAAGTGCTGTGTGAATTCAGAAAAAGAATACTTTCTTCAGTTTGGTTAATTAAAGAAAACTACGTGAAGAAGGTAGCATTTGAGGAGTGGCTTGGATGTGCAGAGATGGAAACATTTCAAACAGAGGGAACAGCATGGATAAAAGCACATGTAAAGGTGTACTCAGTGCATGGAAATAGTGGATACTTACATTGAACAAAGAAATGTACTGATTCTGAACCCTGCCATGGGCTCCTGAGGGACTGTGAAGCTATTGTTACTGCCCCCCAAGCCACTGGCAAACTGAAAATGGAATGAAAAATGTCTCGAACACATACATACAACTTTTAATATGTAAATGCTTTTGATTAATACAATATGCATTCATTCAAAAAGAATAGTGAATTTACTAATAGGACTTCGTTATGTATTTTCTAAATCGACAAATCCCAAGGGTCCAACGACTCTAACGAGCTAGTCTAAGAAAAATTTCAGTGTTAAAAAAAAAAAGTTCTGTGTTCAGAAACCCTGGTGGGTTCTGGAGTCGAATGAACCTTTCTCTGAACTGTCGCTATCAATGGTTAGTTGTGTTTAGTCCCGGACAAGTCTGAGTTTGTTTCTTCATCTCTGCAGTGTGCATTATAAAACCAACCTTGCTTGTTTTAAGGATTAGAGAAATACATGCCACATTTTAGGTGTTCAGCAAAAGCCAAGTATTATGAGATGAAAAGCTGAGGTCAAATCGGAGTCCACCTTGAATACCAAGCTAAGGCGTTGGTACTTTTCTTTGGGCGCTGTAATGACGGAAGGGTTCTTGAGCGACGGGGGAATCAGGAGAGAAACTAGCCAGCACGTTCCTGCGGTGGAGCAGGTGAGGCACAACGGGGCTCAGGCAGGGAGCTTCTGCGGCATTTCAGGCTATAAACCACAAGACTGCGCATTGCCTGTGCATGAGGAACGGGAGCCCAAGGCCGCGCTCTGAGTTAGGTGGTGCCGTTAACAACAACAAAAAGGAAACGCATGTGAAGTTCAGTATGCGACGTTTTCATTTTAAGCACCTAAAATTACTGGGCTGAAAATGAATTCAAAATGGTCTATGTTGAAAAGAAAGCTCTCGAAATTTTGTTCATTCTCTTAAGACCTACGAATTAAAAAAACCCACCCGCCCACCTTTGTGTTAAGACAGCGGAACGCCCGCTGGGGGCCTTCTGCACTACAGGGGTTGGGGAAAGCGCGTCTAGGCCGCTAACAGGTTTCATGTGGCCGGGCGCTAGGGTGCGCTGGTGAGTCCCCACGACGCCGGGCGCGCTCCAACGTCTCGGCCGACGTCCTGCGTCATTACCAAGGAGACGCAGGGGGCGGGGCTCCTCCCGATAGTGCCGTGGTGCGTACTCGCGCGCCCCCTCCTGGCCGCAGGCGTCGAGGCCACGCGCTGGCTCGGAGGCCCAGCACCGGGTCGCCCTCCCGCTAGCGTCCGCCGGGATCGGCGCCTGCGCCCAACTCGGCTCCGCCCAGCGCCGAGCGAGGGGCGACGCCTCGAGGTGAAAGGGAGCAGGTGCGGGAGGCGGGCTCGGTGGAGGGCCGGCCGTCCCGGAGAAACCGAGGCTCTGGGCCGCGGGGGCAGGTGCGATGGCGGAGGAGCGCGGGAGCTGTAGCGGGAAATCAGATTCCTCCCTTGAGGCGGCGGCGACTGCGGAGTCGCGGGAGCGCGAAGACTACAGCAGCCAGTGCGTGTTCTGCCGGATCGCGAGGCGGGAGGAGCCGCGCACCCAGCTCCTGCACTGTGAGGTGGGCGGCGGGGTGACCTCGCGGTGACGGCGGACCTGCCTCTCCTAGGGCGGGGAGTTTCTCCTGCGGTCTCTGGCCGCTCGGGGCGGAGGGAGCGAGATAAATAAAGCCAAGCGCTTTGGGCCGTCTCTCGGTGCCGAGGTATTTGGCGGAAAATCGAATTTATGGCCTCTGCTTTCATTACAGGCCCCCCTCCCCGCCTTTCTAAACACTGCTTTTTTAAGTTCTGCACACGCCAGTACTGATGCTGAGGAGAAAACGAGTAGGAAACTGATGGTAGTAATTGTGAAAAGTTTGTTGTTGTTGTTGTTAGAGTGACGGAAGAGGCTGGGGGTGGGNGTGGGGGTGGGGCGGGGAGTAGATCCGAGGCCACAGGGCTCAGCAGCCGCCGATTCCCCGGAGGGCCCCGCTCCCGGCAGTGTCGCCCGCTGGACACGGTGTGCACGTTATAAGGGCACGAGCTCTTGCCCGGATTTTTTAAAAAAACGCATCTGGTACACGCTTCCGTCGGTTCTACTGGCCTTGGAGAGAAACCAAAAGGGAACCCAGAGGTGGTTTTCTGTAGCTCACTGTACATTCATTCGTTAAATCCAAGCTGGGCTCCTCCCAGGCCCCGCTG